GCATAATCTGCACACATACATACAATAGATAGCATGTGTGCATCCAGATTTCCAGCAAATACAAATTCCATCACCCTACAGTCTTTGTGTGTTGCAGCAGATTGCCCACACAGACCTTGCTGCCAGAAACACTGAACATTGTAAGTTATTTTGCCTAAATAATATAACACAAAATATGAGTTACTGACACAAGCCACTTAAATGGCAACCCTGAGGGGTCTACTTATTACCTCAAGGGCCTGAGGGTTAAGCAAGACATTTTATTTAAGAAACTTGAATCCTAGAAACCTAAAGTATGATGGATACAGTACTTAACTTTGTCATTCAAGCCCTGCTTAGGCTCATCTAACCACCTAACCATTTGTTAGCATCATTCCAAAATTATTGTTAGCTCATTAAATTAAGGTCCTTTTAAACAAGCAATACCATTGTTCAGTTATTAGTTCAATGAAGACAATTTGTTTAGTTAGGATTTTAATTAAGTTTCTAATTTGCATTCTTATTTAAGTTTGCAATAAACCAATGACGCAAAGCTAGTTTTTCCCTTTTCCAAACTGCAACATGAGTCACCACCAAGTTGCCAGCGGTAAATCTCAGGCAATACATTTGCAAGCCATCTGGCTCTGCAAATTTCGTGTATTAACATAGCAGTTGTATGATGGCTAGTTCCAGAGCAGTAATCAGTCACCTCCTTGTCCTAGTGACTGTTGCAGGCACGAGCAACCTTATGCACTTATTTGTACTTTAAATGCAAAGCTATCTTCAGCTGGTGTACAAGTGCTGATCTAGACCTATCCCAGCACCCTGACATTGTCTGGGCAGTCACATGGCAGCTGAAATGAACTACAGCTCTAAGCAACTCGTTTCGGGTTCAGCTGAACTGATCTGTCCTCAATCATCCAAGGGTCATTACAGGATAGCAGCCAGTGAGAACTGGACATTGGACAGGGCAGCCAAAAGCACCAGGCCATTGTATGAGCTCTAAGGAGCAGGTGGGTCTATTTCCTCGGTCCCAGGCCAGTAACCAGTCTTCTAAACCTTGAAATGGAGGGAGTGTGTCTGGAACTGGGGTGGCAGGATCACTTCAGGGAAGCATGCTGGGACAAGCTGTTTTTCTAAACTGCCTTATGGGCATCTACCGGATTTTGCCCAATTTCTTCTTCCTCCTCCATGGGAGGAGCCCCAAGTCCTTCCTAGGAGGGGTGACATGCTGCAGATGTGAGTAGGTTCATTTCTTCTGCCCCAAAGGGCTCCTTGAAGGCACAGAGGGTGAACACCCCAGCTACAGTTAGTTCAGTGAGTTGTCATCAGCTTCCCAAAAACATCAAGAATGGGCACTGGAAATGGATCCAAGGAGGATGAAGGAGGCAGATGGCCCAATCACCTTGACAGTAAACTCCTCCCAGGGCTGGGGATAAGGAGTGGGGTAGGGTGAAGTGCAAGGAGAGGCCAGAAATGGAGTGATGCAATAGTATGAACCATAGTTGCTGAAAGACAGACCAGGAGGCTTTCAGGGTATCTTTTAGAAGAGATTTAGTGTCTACAGCACTGATTCTCAGTCAGGGTGTAATGGCACCCTGGGGTGTCTTGAGATCCTTTCAAGGGTGCCGCAAGGTGCTACACAAACATGATTTACAAGACAAATCCAGAGATTTCAAATAGAAATCCTTAGTAGTTGTCTTTATGAGTTCTGTAACAGAAAAAAATTCTCTATTGTTTTCTGTAGTCAAAAAAAGAGCGAACATTAAGAGCCATCATTTCCCAATGTGTAGCTCCAGTCTATCCAGTGGTGCTTTGAGTCTAAAAAGGCTGAGAACCACTGGTCTACAGGGACCAGACAGCTGAAGCCTGAAAGCCTCCAAAAGTAAAACACTGCAGAAAAATGCTCAGGAGTGCCAGGGGGAATGGCAAGTGTGACAGTGTAAGAACAGGCAGCAGGTTAAGGCTCTCAAACCTGCTGGTATATTTGAAAAGCCACATCTGCTCTAGCTAAGCTTTAAAACTGAATGCAAACTGGCATGGAACAGCAGTCAAATGCCAAGCCTGTGACAAGTGGGCCAAGAGCTACCTCGCTCTGGCAGCCATAGGCTGCTCTGCCAAGAAAGGTACATCCTTATTTCTCCTGGGCTAGAGATGGGGAAATCAAGGCAAAGAGAAATTAAATGATTTGGCTCAAGGTCACAAGGCGGATCAGCTGCAAACAGGATTCTGGTACCCAGCCGGGGACCCCACTCACAATGACACTACAAACCAAGGGGACAACATGGTGGAGAGGCACCAAGGCTGGCCCAGAGGGATGGGAATATGCCCATGCCAGCAACATGTTTTGATACTTTGCAGATTAATTGGGTTGTGCATAAAAGCTTGAGGCATTTATAGATGTGCTCCAGAAGTTGGATGGGGTTGGGGAGGCACTTTAATTAGAGCAACTCCAACAGCCACTAATTAGAGTGCCCTGAGTGTCATGTCCATCAGTTTCCCCATGCTAAAAAATGGCGGCGGGGCACTTTAGTAAAGCTTGTAGAACCAGCTTTAAAGTGCCCCTGCCACCAATTTTCAGCGTGGGGACACTGATACACATGACACTGGAATCTGAAGAAGCACAGTAATTACCACGCTCCAGCAGACTTGATTAATTGAGTCTGCTCTGAGGTGCTGTAATTACAGCATGTTGCAGCAGCCTCCGTGCATGTGTATAGGTGCCCTTGGATACCACAGTAGATAGGTGCTTGTCTTCCCTGAAAGGATAAACTTCAATTTCTACTTTAAGGCTCATACATGCCACTGTAGCTGAAAGAAGTCCACTCATGATCCAGAAGAACCCCCTTAATGGCTTGAGCTGTTAGAGGAAACCTCAAAATGGGAGAGCAGCAAGCTGTCCTCCACCCCCTGTTCTCACTGTCATCAAGACAGCGTGTCACAATCCCTGTAGTGCTGGCTTGCTAGATGACAGGTGGCCTGGTAGCTTTTGGGAGCTGCATTCTCCTCACAGGGGCTGCAAGCATCCGTCACAGATAAGGAGAACGTGAGTTTGAATCTACCTGGGCAATTCCAATTTCAGGCAGTATCTTGCCACATCCCCCGTCCTTCAATCCCCGCGTGGCAGAGCGTGCAGGGCAGCAGAGTGCAGGGAGTGACTAATGTCTCTGTCAGAAAGAAGTGATGCCTCATCTGCCAGCCACTGACACAGTCAGACCCGCCTCACAGCAAGTGACACTGGTGCTCCACGGAGAAGAGGGAAGAAGATCACTGCAAGAGCCACTGACATTAAATTAGTGCAACTTCCCTGTGCAGATGAGATCAGAAACAGTCTAGTTCAGGGGTGGGCAATTATTTGGGCCAGAGGGCCACTTAGGGAGTTCTGGTAAGCGGTCACAGGCCAGGTCAGCACCCCCCCCACCCACAACAGCTCAACAAAACTCCCTAAGTGGTTTGGCCCTACACTCAGCCAGGGTGGGTGGGGAGCAGCATCCGGGGCGGGATGGACCAGGACCAGGGCTGGGATGAGGAGCATGGGGCCAGGGTCTGGGACAAAGCCCTGATCCACTCCCGGCATGCTTCTGCCTGTGCCCCTTGCAGGGATGTGCAGGGAATGGATCATGGCTCTGCTCTGGGCCCTGGCCCTGCACTGTCACTGCCCTGTGATCCCAATCTTGGCCCTGGCCCTGCCCGCCTGTCCTACTCCTGGATGCCCCTCCCTGCCTGCCCATGGACCCATCCCATCTGCCAACTGAGTGCACCTTGCCCACATGGGTCTCTGGCCAGTCTCCTTGGAGACTCCACCCACCCGTTCTGTCTGGCACCCCTAGCAGTGGGAGTGGGGTGGACGGGCCAGGGTGCCTGCAGTGTGGCTAGGTCCAGTGGCAGAGACCGGCAGTGGCAGCTGGAAGGACCCAATGCTATGGGGGCTGCTGGGAAGTGAGTCTGACCTCTGTGCTACTCCACCCCACTGCATGCCTGAGGCAAGTGGGATCGGCTGTATGTGCCACAGCCCGTGTGCTGCCCCCTACGTCTAGGCCAGGTGGGACCAAGGGACCTGCTGCAGGCCAGATAAAATCCCTTGGCGGGCCAGATCCAGCCAGCAGGCTGTATTTTGTCCACCCCTAGTTTAATCTGTGGTAACCGGTGACTCCAACAGGCCAGCTCCCAAGGTTGATCCTCCTCTTGGCCAACATTTTCTCAACTGGTGAATTCAGCACACAACCAGTGGGTGACTTGATGGGGGTGCCATAGCCAAAGACATGTCCCCCAGCCACACAAAGCCCTCTTTGCTACTAGAACAGGCCCATTACTCATGCTTCCAGCTACAAGCTTATCTCCGAGCTACTGTGTCCGGTTCAAGGACAAAGAGGCCCTGTCCCTTTCCCAAACACGTTCCATTTCTTCTCAACGTTCAATGACGCAACTGCTGGCATTGTCCTACTGGCATGGGGGTTTTTATTGTGCTGTGACAAATGACCTAACAACAAAGCAGTTGGAGATTTTGAGTGGAGCAGCACAGCTCCGATGCTTCAGAAGGGCATCTGCGCTTGGGAGAGAGCTGGCTACAGTCGGCTCCTGGGTACACGGAGTACTAGTGTGCTCTGCACCACAATCCTGCTTCAAGAGGGCAGCCTGAAGACCCTCTGTGAAATACAGCTGGAGATGTATCTACATGGCAAAAGCAGTGCCAAGCAGAGACTCCTAAGTTTGCTCGGGTGCTGGAAGCTGTCTAGCCACTCGGTGCTCCACGTGGGTGAAGATTCTGCTTCTCAGCGTGGCAATTAGGCTGGGGTTAAGGGTAGTCTGCACTAAACTAGCCAGTGCAGCAACTGCATTACCCCTGCTAGCTCTGCCTGCATGGCTTCTCTTTACAAGGTACCATGTCAACATGCCTTCATTCAAACCCCTGAAATACCCAGGAGCTTTCAAGGCAATCCAGAAGATTCTCGGGACAGGGACTCGTCTGGGGGTAGCCTACAAGTTAGCAGGAAGGACCACACACAAACACACATACATACCACTAGGTAGGCGCTTCCTCTGGACACATCTCCCTTGGTCATCTTCCACGAACTGCAGGAGGCAGGGGCCACAGGAGTGGGCGCCGGGCGGACAGAACTCCCTCCGCTGCAGGGCACAGTCCAAGCTCCGTGGGCAGGACTCTGCTGGGAAAAGGAAGAGAAAGCAATGTCACAAGAGGTTGGTGTCCTTCAGATGCCCCTGGAGGTGGGGAAGTGCTGCTGGGTACAGGAGCCGCAAGGGGAAAACACTGCCATTTCTGGAAAAGTAACACCCCTTGGAGAATAGCACAGCACCAGAGCAGAAGGGTGACTCACTCTGCTAGTGCCATCAAGCCCCTGCCAACTCAGTCTGGCTGAAAAGGAGCTGAGTTAATGGATCTAGTCTTGTGGTTAAACAGCAAAACACAGCTCTGGGACATCTACATTCAAGGGCAAGTGACTTAGCAGCTCTGTGACTCAGGTACCCTGTGGGTAATATGGGATCGTTATAGTGAGGCGCTATGGGGATAAATTTGTTAACACATGTGGAGTGCTCAACTGTGGGGTCCAAGCGCTGTTGGAGAACGCCCATACAATGGAGAGAAACACAACTGTGTAACAGGATGCACTAATGCTAACACACAAGTCCTGCCTTGGCACTGTGTGGTAGGAGCCACTTTAACTTCTGGAGACCTAATTGGTGTGACCAATTCGCATGCCTGATTTCTCTAGCTGACCACATGACCCACCACCAGTAGAGCTGCTGCTGCAGCAACAGCAGATGCTGAGAGCTAAGAGATTAGTCACCGAGATTAATGCATGGCTTAACGAGTGCCTGAGGCAGCTTGACTATGGCAGACACACCTACGCTATGGTTCCCTAATCCTTGTCCCTGGAGCTCTGGTGCATTCTCTCCCCAAGAGGCACAGCTCACACCAGGCACTTGCAGAGTGGCCCAGGCCACAAAATTGGCTGTTAATCATACATTGCATCATGACAAACAATCCTAGCAGGAACCTCACACCTACTCTAACTGCTCCAGGCCTCACCCACTCCTGGTTAACAAGGCTTCTTGGCCTGGATCTGAACATCACAAAAGCTGGGGACATCAACTGCATGGCCTACACATTTTCCCTATCGCTGGCCCACCCATCAGGGGACTGTCCCCTAGTAAGTCCCCCCTGTAGGAAATGCATCAAAGAGCTAACTCCACACACCCAGCTGACAGCCCCTTGGCCAACCTCATTGCATCTCTCTGTATCTCACTGTGACTGGACAATTCAGGGGGGAAAGAGGGGCTGTACGCAGCAGACAGGATAGAGGAAGAAAGGGCACTCACTAGTTAGGGGGCTCCTGAATATATCTGATGCATCTCATGGGACCAACAGTGAAGCAAGAACTCCCCCCACCCCAGGAGGACAAGGACCAGGATGAGGGGGGAAGCCTTTCCATGCTCCCTCCCCAGCTTGAATAAGCCATCCTCCTCCTGGGTAGCAGGAGCTCCCTGGCATACCACTCACACACCATGCTCCACAGCCCTGTACCCCAAGCACAACCTGAGGAGCACATCCACACAACTGGGAAGGCTGCCAATGAGGACAAAAGCAACTCAAGTCTCCAGGGCGGTGACAACGAGGGTTTCGTGCCTAGTATGCTCACTACATACGCTCCAGATGCTGCTGAAGATCAATACTGAACCGGAGGGGGGCCGTGCAAAGATGTAATTAGCAACATTCCCTGCTAAGGAGCTAAGATCAAGTTTGCAAAGCTCACATGGCAACAGAGCGCAGCGGTGGCTTAAAAGCCAGGGCAGAATACACAATCACCCAGACACTAAGAAGGGGCAGGCACGGCTTTTATCAACCACCACAAACCTACAAGGCTGCCAGATGTCAGCACTAAACTGAACTCTGCCCCACGAGGTTCCCTGCCACTGCTGGAAGACCCAGAGAGCTCAGTGCTTCAAAAAGCCTGCTTCTGTGCAGCACCTAACAGCTCGCAGCTGGGTCTCCTCCTCAAGATCCTAATGACAGTAGAGTCACTGCTTTCCTGGGAGCCTTTGCAGCTGAAAGCTGGGGCATGTTTATACCCATCATTTTGATCATGAGCATAAAGAACAACCAACCCCCCTGTCCTCCCCTTCCTCCCCCAAGAGAGAAGCTGGCATCTTTGTGGCATCACTAATTTCTTAGCCAGCTGGCACCAAGGACTGAGCAGAGTTTGGGTCAACGAGACTGGATCTCAGCCAGTAAAAACGTTCCCCCTCTGGTTCTGCGTGTTGTGAGGAGGCCACAATTCATCCTGTGGGCACCTGCAATAAATCAGTCACTCGTGAGCAGGGCTGCGGCATCCCTTAGGGGGTGCAGGTTACAGAGCAGCCAGTCCATGAGGCAGGGAGATGCTGCTGGAGCACTCTCTTGTCTCCTACTGCTCATCCACCCCCCTCCTCAACTACCAGCCAGCCACCCCTACCCCCATTTTCTGGGGACTTCTGAGCTAAGGACCAGAGGGACTTCTCAGTTTTGTTGCTTGGCTTCTGTGCCCCCCCCAACCTTAGATCCGTGCTCACCAGCTGACAGCTGGGCACATATCAGCTGGGCAACACGTCACCAGCACAAAAGCAAACACAAGAAATTGTAAAATAGGTGCTGCTGGCATAGCACCTTTCTTGTCAGAGCTCTGCTTTCATTTCCTACTGGGCTGCTGGGGCAGGGCAAGGAGTTAGGGGACAGAGAACTGCTGCTTGCCCCCTTTGTCCAACACAACAAAGCCCCTTCAGACAGCCCAGAAGCAGAAGCCCCTCTGAGGACTGTACTTAATTTTGGGCACTACTCCCTGCCCTTCTGCCTTGTGCCCTTCCCTGTGACACTGCTGGAGCTGGTTCAGACCACAGACCCCTGCAGGCCTTGGTCTCCTACAGCCTGCTGCAGAGGCCAGCGGCAATGGAGGTGTTCATGAAGTGCCCAATAGCCAGCACTCCCAGCCCAGCCTCTGTGGGGTAGAGACATCCACTGGAAACCAGGCTGACCCAGCTATTTACTGCAAGTCTTGACACTCCTACCCCAGCTTTGGGGGACTTCTGAGCTAAGAACCAGAACACTTCTTATTTATCTTGGGCTAGAAGCCCAGGCACACACCAGGACCCCAGCATGCCAGGCGCTGCATGAACAAAACAAAGACAGATCCTGTCCCAAGAAGCTGGTAGCCCTTCTTTCCATTCCCAGCTGCCTCCTTGGGGACATGTCTACACCCACCCCCCTTTTCATTCCTTCCCAATACAGAAAGCAAAACAGCAGGCAACAGGCATTCAGGGACGCAAACTGCAACTCAAGGGAGGCTCCTCTTCCTGGGCAGTAGGGGCTGAAGCCTCTGCCTGATTTGGGGCAAGCTGCAAAGAAAACCCCGCTGTCTCCTCCAGACAGCCAGGGAAGTGGGAGAGAAGCAGCCCTTGCCCCTTGCCTGCAGGAGAAAGAGCGATGAGTCACCACGAGAGACTGTTCGTGACAAACCTGAACAGGTTCCCGCACTTGACAAATAAGCCCAGTGAGCTGCATCCCCACCCACGCTGCAGTGTCCAGACACCGAGTGCAGCTGCGCTGCTAGGTACAGAGCTCTGCTTGGCATGAATTAGGGGGCTTGGAGCACAGTGCCTCCCACCACACTAGCAGCAGCCCCCAGGCAAAGGCTAGGATGTGGGATAATGAGGGAGGAGATGTGTTTGACCACCTCCCACCCATGCACCTTTGTTTAAAGACCAGCGATGGAGGCTGTTCTCCCTTCCTGCAAACAACCTCCACCGATGGGGGTGGAAGTAGTCCAGACTGAGACGTTCCACTGGTTACTCCAAATCTGTGCCCACCCTGTCTGCCCCCTTACTGCAGACTCTGGGCATCTTCTCGTTTGAGGCCCCACCTCTGTGAAGGAGGGCTATTAACCCATGGCACGAGTTTTGCCTGTCAGCAGCTAGGGGTGCAGGGCCCCAGATCCCGCCTGCACCGATCTCCTTGACAGCTGACAGGCGTCATGACCTCAGCAGGGGCCACCATCCCTGCAGCTGTCAGCCTGCTGCGCCTTAACCCACGGCATGAGTTTTGCCTGTCCACAGCTTTAGGGGCAGTTCCCCCCAAACCCCTGCACTGATCTCCTTGAAACTTGGCAGGCTTTGTGGCCTCAGTAAAAGCTACCAGCCCTGCAGTTTTGACCCCCCTGTGTTGTAACACAGATGTGACAGGAGTTTTGCTTTCAAGAATTTGGGATGCAGTTCCCCCCAAACCCATGCACCGATCCTGAAACTTGGCAGGATTCATGCTCTCTGCGGAGTCTACCATCCCTGAAAAATTAATCCAAATCAGACAAAAAACAACAAAGGTATAGATATTTTATTGTTTTCCCATTATACACTATGGCCGGATCTCCAGGGAAGCTCCGAACCGCTTCGGGAAGCCGAACGAGGCAGCGCTTCGACCTGGATGTGCTGCTTTGGACCCCGAAGCGCCCAAAACCTCTCCAGATCCAAAGCTCTGTCTGAAGCCTCGCACAGCCCTAGTGCGCAGGACCCAAACCTAATGTATTCCAGCTCCAGGACTAGGGCAGCTCACAGCAAGTCTTTAGCTCCTGCATAGCACTTAAGACCCCAGCTTTATGGGAAGATGTCCCTATGAATGTTCACCGTGGAGTCAAGTAAGCCCATGATGGCCCATCAGGGAGCTGTCCTCGGTGGCAGCAGGCCACTATCAGACAGCCCAGAAGTGACCAGCTGGAAGCACGACAGGAGGGAGGAACCGCTCTGAACTCCAAATTGCCACGTCAACCCTGCTCCCTCAAACTCGCAGGAGTCCAAGTAATGTTGTGTGCACTGTTGTCAGGAACACAAACATGCAGGTGGATTATTACTTATCACAGTCCCTCCCACCAGCACAGCTGCCTACTGAGGCAAACAGCTCCCGTACTTGCCAAAGCTCAGCACAGCACCGAAGCAAACAAAGCTGTACCCACACACATGCACCATACTCTTTGCCAATCTGTCCTAGGGAAAAAATTCCTTCCTGACCCTAAATTTGACAAACCAGTCAGCTCTGAGCAGAACAGGACCCTAGGGGTCAGATCGGAGGGTTTTGTTTTTATAAATATGGGCAGGAGCATCAGTGCATCCCATTCACAGCCTTAGGCATGGCCAACATCTTTCTC